GTATGAGTGTGTGTGTGTGGATGTTTCCCAGAGATGGGTTGCGGCTGGAAGGGCATCCACTGCGTAAAAAACTTGCTGGATAAGTTGGCGGTTCATTCCGCTTTGGTGACCCCGGATTAATAAAGGGACTAAGCCGACAAGAAAATGAATAAATGAATGAATATTCTGTTCTTTTTTATTCTACTTTATTTTGTTATAGTCTGTTCTATTCTATCCTGTTTTATTTTAATCTATTCTATTCTATTCTGTTCTATCATATTCCCTTTAATTCTGTTTTATTCTATTCTGTTCTATTCTATTCTGTTTTGTTCTGTTTTATTCTGTTCGGTTCTATTATATTCTATTCTGTTCTATTCTGTTGTGTTTTAATCTATTCTGTTTTGTTCTATTCTATAAGCTGCTTTGACACAATTTACATTGTTAAAGAGCTATACAAATAGAGGTGAATTGTTCCATTATATTCTATTCTATCCTGTTCTGTTCTATTTAGTTTAATTTTATTCTGTTTTATTTTATTCTGTTAAATTCTATCCTGTTCTGTTCTATTCTGTTTTATCCTATTTTGTTCTATTCTATTCTGTTCCATTATATTGTATTTTGTTCTATTTTATTCTGTTCTATTATATTATATCATGTTCTGTTCTATTCAGTTTTATTCTATTCTATTCTGTTATATAATATTCTGTTCTATTCTGTTCTATTCTATTCCAGTCTGTACTATTATATTTTGGTCCATTCTGTTCTATTCAGTTTAATTTTATTCTGTTCTATTCTCTTCGATTCTGTTTTATTCCATTCTGTTCTAATCCATTCTGTTTTATTCTATTCTGTTTTATTCTATTCTATTCTATTCTATTCTATTCTATTCTATTCTATTCTATTCTATTCTATTCTGTTTTATTCTATTCTGTTCTAATATATTCTATTTAATTCTATTCTGTTCTGTTCAATTCTTTTCTGTTCTGTTCTATTATATTCTATTCTGTTTTGAACTGTTCAGTTAAATACTATTCTATTCCATTCTGTTCGATTCTATTCTGTTTTATTCCATTCTATTCTATTCTATTTTCCCCATCATTACCTTTATATTCTTCAGTTCTGTTCTTTTCTATATTGCGCTCTATTCTATATTACTCATATCTCTGTCATAATATTTTAGTAGTTCCTATTTAGCTACATCCTTTTGTTATATTCTACATTATTTAGTTCTTTATTCTATCATGTTCCAATCTTTTCTTTTTCCATTCTATTCTAAAGTACTACTACTCCATTCTGCTCTTCTTTGCTCCTTCACAATCTGTACTGTTTCCTGCACCATGTCATCGTAGTCATTTCATGAATCGTCAGGTCTAATAAGCCACGGTCTCGCTAAAACAGAATCACCATCTTGGCGCTTCACACACATATTTTCATTTCATTCATATTTATCATGCGGCCCGTCGCCATGGGAACCCTGGAGGACATCAGCGACTGTGCAGCAGCGAGTCCATGTTTACACATTGATTCCACTGATAAAGTTCAATATCACGACCTCCATGTCACCATCAGTCACATAAAGAATAGCCCGTTTATTGACAAGATGGCAATTCAGTTATGATCTATATGATCCTAATCACACTATTTGACGTTGACGTCAATGAATAGAACGAAATCTTCATTCATAACAGCAGCTGCATTCCTCTGAGGGAAAGGGGGCGTTCCTGTGTGTGTGTGCCTGTGCGTGCGGGTGCGTGTGTATGTGTGGTTCAAGTATTCCCTACTTTAGGCAGTTATGTAGCCCTGGTGGTCTTCCTTTTCCTTTCCTTCCTTTTGCCCAGACAAAATGAATGTGAGCCTGAACTGGCCCACCAGTATAATGGTAAAGACTCAATTCATATATGGGCCATTTAAGGCAGAGATTTGGCCCATAAGGAAAATTATAAGATTGGCCCAAATGATAAAGGACAAATGTGGGCCACAGATGGCAAAAATGTGACATAATCATTTAAGGGTAATCTGGGTCTAAACCTCAAGTGGCTCACATGTGTAAGTGCAAATGTGGCCCAGTTATCTTAAGACATATGGGGGCCACTTTTGGCCAATACTTGCCACCGTAAGCTCTGGCTATTGCGGCTGTGAGCCTAATGTGGCCCAGAGAAAATATGGCAAATATGGTTCAGTTATTTTAAAACATATGTGGGCCACTTTTGGCAAATATTCGGCACAGTAAACTCTGGCTAATGCAGCTGTTAGCCTCTAGTGGCCCAGAGAAGATATGGCAACTGTGGTCCAGTTATCTTAAAACATATGCAGGCCACTTTTGGCGAATATTCGGCACCGCTAGCCCTGGCTAGTGGCCCAGAGAAGATATGGCAAACGTGGCCCAGTTATCCTAAAACAAATGTGGGCCACTTTTGGCAAATATTCGGCACTGTAAACTCTGGCTAATGCAGCCTTAGCCTCTTGTGGCCCAGAGAAGATATGGCAACTGTGGTCTAGTTATCTTAAAACATATGCAGGCCACTTTTGGCGAATATTCGGCACCGTTAGCTCTGGCTAATGTGGATTTGAGCCTATAGTGGCCCAGTTATCCTAAAACAAATGTGGGCCACTTTTGGCAAATATTCGGCGCAGTAAACTCTGGCTAAGGCAGCTGTTAGCCTCTTGTGGCCCAGAGAAGATATGACAACTGTGGTCTAGTTATCTTAAAACATATGCAGGCCACTTTTGGCGAATATTCGGCACCATTAGCTCTGGCTAATGTGGATTTGAGCCTATAGTGGCCCAGAGAAGATATGGCAAACGTGGCCCAGTTATCCTAAAACAAATGTGGGCCACTTTTGGAAAATATTTGGCACAGTAAACTCTGGCTAATGCAGCCGTTAGCCTCTAGTGGCCCAGAGAACATATGGCAACTGTGGTCCAGTCATCTTAAAACATATGCAGGCCACTTTTGGTGAATATTCGGCACCGTTAGCTCTGGCTAATGTGGATTTGAGCCTATAGTGGCCCAGAGAAGATATGGCAAACGTGGCCCAGTTATCCTAAAACAAATGTGGGCCACTTTTGGAAAATATTTGGCACAGTAAACTCTGGCTAATGCAGCTGTTAGCCTCTAGTGGCCCAGAGAAGATATGGCAACTGTGGTCCAGTCATCTTAAAACATATGCAGGCCACTTTTGGCGAATATTCGGCACCGTTACCTCTGGCTAATGTGGATTTGAGCCTATAGTGGCCCAGAGAAGATATGGCAAACGTGGCCCAGTTATCCTAAAACAAATGTGGACCACATAGACCAGGGGGTGTCCAAAGTCGTCATGAAGGGCCTTTGTCCTGCTGACTTTAGCTCCAACTTGCTTAAACACACCTAAATTAAAATCTATTAAAAGATTAGCCCAGTTAACTATTTATTGTATTAGTAAATCATATTGTAATATAATGCCATGGTTAACCCTTAGCAAATACCTTGTTACATTTAACCCTGGGTAACTTTGTGCCCCGCGCTCCCCTGTTATGAAAAATGCTGGAAACCTGTAACTATTGACTTCCATTGTATTTGTTTTCCTACTGTGGACATCAATGGTTACAGATTTTCAGATTTGTATCTTCTTCAGTGTTCAACAGAGGAAAGAACCTCATCGGTTTAGAAACGCGTGAGTAAATAGTTGAGGGAGAACTCTCTCTTTAATTGAGTAAGGAGTCATTTAGAAAACTCACAGAAATGATGATCAGAGCTTCAGTTTGATTCACAGGATTTTATTTGACTTATTAGCCAACAATACATAAAAGCAGTTCATCACAAAACAATTCAAAGAACAATTCATTACAAAACAATCATGAACACTTCATTATAAAACAATCAGTCTCTCTTATGACAAAACACCAGATTCATTAATGAGGGAGAAAATAGTCGAGCAGATCTTTGATGACACTTTAGAGGAGAAAACTGTGACAGCACTGGAGTTAAAGTTCAGTTCACTGAAGAGCAAATCCATCGATGCGCAGCTCCACAAGTCCCAACCAAGCAAGCCAGCGGCGACAGTGGCGAGGAACAAAACTTCACTAATTGACAAAAGTGAAGGAAAAAACCTCGAGAGAAACCAGGCTCGGTTGGGCACGACCATTTCTCCTGTGGCCAAAGGTCTTGTGCAGAGCTGCAGTATTTAATCACCATTATTGTCATTAATTACTCACCTCATGTCCTTAGTTCAAATTCATGTTTAGTTCATATTAAGAACACAAATTAAAACATTTGAGATGAAATCTAAGAGCTCTCTGACCCTCAAACCGCACGTCCAGAAGAGCGCAGTGCACTGTATGCGTGTCGCACTGCTGACGTTTAACCCAGAGGCCTGCGCGACTTCCTCTCATTTAAACAAAGCGTGGGCACATCTGAGGTAAACGTCAGCAGTGGACACACACACAGTGCAGGACAGAGCTCTCATGGTTTGATGATTTGATTTCATCTCAAATGTTTTCATTTGTTTCCTGAAGATGAGGAAAGGTGTCAGGGGTTTGGAGTATTAAACTTCTTTAATGCAGAAAGAAAAACACAAAAATATTAAAACAAAAATAATGACTTCAGAAGTCCTGTACTGCACTGGATGTGTGTCGCACTGCTGACGTTTAACCCAGAGGCCTGCGCGACTTCCTCTCATTTAAACAAAGCGTGGGCACATCTGAGGTAAACGTCAGCAGTGGACACACACACAGTGCAGGACAGAGCTCTCATCAACACACTGACACTGAAAAGTAAGGTCTGAGGGGTTTGGAATGACATGAGGGAGTAATTAATAACTTTAACAGTCTTGTGAAATTTCTGGAAATGCTGCTGTTCTCCTCTTCGCTTCTTTAGTGTTTTCTAAAATGAAGAAAAACAACACAAAGTTATTTAAGCAGTGATATGAAGGGCTGTCAAATAACACTTGTGACTCTATAAAGAGCAGAAGAGGAAAGAACAGGAATAGCATGAAGCAAAGAAAGACTGAAGATGTAGTTTTGTGCTCGGTGTGTTCCTCTACCTCCTCTTGTCTCACTGCTGCACAGGATTTGGGCTCGTTGGATTGAACCACCGGTGCTCTTCTAACTGATGTAACTGCAGTCGCTTCTCTGGATTGCGGACCAAACACTGGGAAATCAGGTCCAGGCAATCTGAAAAGTGACAGAGAGAGTGTGAAATATGTCTGCATACTCAAGATTCATGAACGTGTTTAAATCTCACTACATCAAATTACAAAACAAACGATTGTTCAGAAGAGTCTGCTTACCTAAAGATAAGGTGAGGTCTGTCTGGAGGTCTCCAACGATTATCGAATGCGTGTCGAAAAAGGCCAATTGTCCATGCAATATTTCATACAGGATGAGGCCTAATGTCCAGACGTACGCCGGGTTAGGAAAGAATGTGGGATCCCTCAGAACCTCAGGCGGTGTGTAAAGTAAGGCTCCTGTAAGAGAGACATTTTCAGAATTCAGTCATTTCATAAGACAATACTGTGACCAAAGAAACTCCCACAAAATGCCCACTCACCTCGATAATCACTGCTGTTGAAAGGCTCGCTGGTAATTAGCCGAGCACAACCAAAGTCAATCAGTTTGAGCTCTGATCGGGGTTGAGTCACCAGGATGTTCCCCGAGTGCATATCTCCATGGAAAACTCCACGCTCAGCGCAGAACTTGACAGCTTGGATCAACTGACACATTAACCGGCGTGCGTGGGTTTCATCAATGTCCAATGTACTTCTGACGTAATAAGCCAAGTTCTGGGATGACTCGGCGTACTCCAGAAAGAGAACGAAGTCGTTCTTATTCTTAATCCAGTGGTGTAATGTGATGATGCTGGGGCAAGGTGGGTCCTTCATCAACTTAAGCATGATTGCCACTTCTGCAAGCACAGGTTTGGAATGACCATCCTAGAAAAAAAAACAGATTTCAAAGATATTACCAAAGCAGAATGGCACAAAGTACAGAAACATTTTCACTTTTGTGTAAATTGTTCAACTTACAACGTCGAGATAGCGGTCCTGTTTACGCTTCTTGATGTACTTCAGGGCAACCTGCGGAAAAACAACAACAAATGAAATTAAAGCCCACAAATGATTTATATTGAGTAATCAGGAGGAAAATGTTGACTGAATTTGAAAAATAGTTCTCTACCTTTGTTCTCTCATTAAATACGTGAGATCCCAGATACACCTTGCCATAACTTCCTTCTCCAATCAGGTCTTTCACTTCAAAAAGACCCACCCTAGATCCTGAAACACAGAAAAACAGCAGGGAGATTTACTTGCATTGTCTGGTATGAAACGGATCAAATAAATGACTCGAATCCTTTAAATCTGGATCTAATGCAATGAGCTGAAAGCAGAAACTTCCATCAGAATTGCAGGAGTAAACTGATTACTAATTTATAATAATAAAAGGAAATGATCACTTACCAAGAGTCAGCCCAGAAGCCTCATTAGGCTCCTCAAGAACTGACTCTGACTCGGACTCGGACTCGGACTCAGAATCGGACTCGGACTCGGGCTCAGGTTCAGGTTCAGGTTCAGGTTCAGGTTCAGGCTCAGGCTCAGGCTCAGGCTCAGGCTCAGGCTCAGGCTCAGGTTCAGGCTCAGGTTCAGGCTCGGGCTCTGGCTCTGGCTCAGGTTGTGGTGTAAGATGCTGGACTACATCCGTGTCACAGCACAGGAAAGGGCGCGTTGCAGCCTTCCATACTCTCTTGAAGAAAGCAGAGACTCTTTTGCCTTTCCTTCCTTTCTTGGGTTTTTCTAAAATGAAGAAAACAAACAGAAACATCTCCATGAACAGAGCTGCAGCTACAGCGCTCAGCATATTCATATATGCAGTACACCCCATTTAGAAAAGGAATGTTTTTATCCATTTCTCAGTGAATCTGGGTCATATATATTGGTGCATTTGAACAAAACAGATTTATCAAACAGATTTATTTATTAAAATAATAATTTAGTCACAGAACATCTTTAGAAATGAAAAGATAATACAATTAATATCATGCAAAATATTGCAAAATTTACAAACTACAACATTTCAACAAAATTGTCAATATTTTTTGTTTCTATTTGACTTTTGGTAATTTAGAAAATTTTATTTAATATTTTCCCTGAACAAATACATTTGGGCTACTCATTTTTGAACCATTATTTAGTTATTTTGTTAGATAAGCTCCATATTTGGCTTCAGTTCTGACTAAACTAATGTACATGCACAAATATAATATTATAAAGCCTCCTATAGAAAATCTGAATTTAAATGAGAGATTTGTGGGGGGTGCACTCATATATGTTCAGCACTGTATTAATTAATACACAACCAACAGTACATCAAATGACACTGTCTGATTTATAAGCTAAAAACAACAAAGCATAAAAATAACAGACGGCAGAAATAAAATGAACCAAATTCAGGATGACTCACCATCAGTCCCATCAATATCAGAGGGGTCTTGAACAGACGGAGGCGACTCAGGACAGGCCGAATCTGCATCCGTCATGTTCTTAATATTGGAGAGGTCATGGACACTGATTGGCTGGGGATCTTCCCAGACCTGGCCTGGCAGACACACCAGCTCAGTATCAACATGACCTGTGAGGGCCGTCGAGGACTCTGGACGGGCCGGATCTGCATTCGGCACATCTGCTGTTTGCTCAATGCTGAAGGGGCCCGGAACACTCAACGGCTGAAGATCTTCACAGACCTGGCCTGGCTGCCACACCGGCTCAAGGTCTGCATGTGCTGCGACGGTCCTGGAGGGACCTGGAACAGGCAGATGCTGGAAATCGTCGACATCTGACCGTGGTTCAAAGGGAACCACTCTGTTCCGGTCACAGCAAAGGAAAGGGCGCTTCACAGCCTTCCATGCTCTCTTAAAGAAAGCAGAGGCTTTATTCCCTTTCCTCCTTTTCTCTGTGTTTTCTGAAATAAAGGAAATGAACAGGGAAATATTAGAAAACTCTTTAATCACATGTTTAAAACAGACAACGTGCTGTAAATTAGACAAATAAAAGACAATCACACAAAAGGAACAACAACAATAAATTTAGAACTATAATAGAAAATGTTTGAAAACTAAAATTAATTATGTGGAATTGCAAATCATTTCTATGATGTAAAATGACAAACACAAGCTGACAAATAGTCGGTAAGTCATAAGTCCATATCAGGAAAAAACCTAAAAGCAACTATTTAGCAAAAATATTTTTCTGTTATATTATTATTAAGGAGAAAGTCAGAATGTGTGAATATAAAACCAACTTTACCTCAATTATATTAATTCATCCCTGCTTGAACAAATAAAGACTTAAATATAATATTCTCACTCAGTTTGCTAAAATATAACAAATATTCCTCCACACCATCAAAAACTAAGAAAATTACAGTGCAGGTCTACACAAAGGATTTAAATTAAAGTAAAATTTAAATGATTTTTATCAGAAACATTAACAAGGCACAATTTCAGTTGAGTGGAAAGGAGAAACTTAAAAACCAGAATGTCATTACATATAAGAGCAGGGCTCTATCACAAAAATATACAAAACCATAACTACACACACAAAAAACACATTACAATGAAGAGACGTTGCATATTTGCTACACTAATAACCTTACATGGCGATATATTAATATTATTTTACTTTTAACTTCATAATTTACTGTATTATTAAATAATACGTGGAAATACACAGTTTTTGTAAACTCTTATCTCACCTGTTGGGCTTCTCATCACGGTAGAAGGTGAAGGAGAAGCCATCGTGTCACTTCGATGATTTTCGTTGACAAACTCAGTCGTGATCGTATTAACTCGGTTAAAAAACGCAGCTGACGTGTTATTTGCCATTTAAGATAAAAAACAAGTCGCTAAAGTCGTTAAATCAATGTTCACTGTACTCGTTCGTTTGTCACTCTGAGGAAAATCTGAATTCTTTCCAGTGACGTAACGGCAATCGAATTCGTTCTTTTTATTCGTCATCGGTGGTGGGGGAGGGGGGGGGGGGGGGGGGGGCGCAGGCCGCGGGTGGATCCAAGATGGCGCTCTGATCGGTGAAGTTCGTTGATCGTGTTATGATATAAGTTCTGTCTGCACAAAAAAAAACAACCCAAACCCATCGCAATCTGTTGTCTGAGAGACGAGGCGACTTTTGCAGAGCATTTCTGTGCAAATCCTGAGATTTCTGAAGCTGTTCGAGGATTTCCTAGAGAAGACTTATTATAAAGAGCACATCTTTAATCAGTTTTTATTTCCGTTCTTGTTTTCTGATTATTTCATTAAACATTTGTTGTGTCACTTCATTTTTTCCTTTTATTTATTTTTTCCTTTTATTTTTTTTTTCCTTTATTAACATTTTTATTTATTTACTTTGTTTTAAATGTACTTTCATATTTTATCTGCTTTTTTATTATAATTTGTTTTTATTGCAGGTTGGAGAAGATTGTCCATGTCCCACATGGGTGAAGAAAGAGGAGGTGAGTGTTTTTAATTTGTCATTAGTTTGTCATTGGTATGTCACTGTTTAATGCTGTACGATGTTTGACAAATATGAAAAGATCATAGAAGTATCATAAAACAAAAAAATATTTATTAAAAAGAGATTTTGATGTATGTTTATATCAAAACAATTATAATGATGGAAAACTACTGAGTTGCTCAATAAAAACAGCAAGTTCCAATAGAAAGAGTGAAAAAAGTGACCAGTGAAAGTGTTTGTTGTGTGTGATTTATCTTTTAGCTTCAAACCACTTCAGACTCAGCACCCTAGCATTTTAGAGAAATAAACTGCAGGATAAAAAGTATATCACTCCATATATCCATTTTATTTATAGATCGATTTTTGCTTTAATAGTAATTGTTTTGTTGTTTTGTGAGTTCTTAATCAGTTCAGGACGTATATTTTATTAATAAGTACTGCATTTAATAAATTACTATTTAGTGTTGTTTCGTTGCAGAATTAGAATTTTTGCTTTTGGGATTTATAAAAAAAAAAGAAATCAACCTACAATCATATTATAGAATCTTCAATCTGTTTGCTAAATTAATTTAATGTGTAAAACTCGAGAAGGACTGTAACGCCGGGGAGTGACACCAACAACAGAAGGTAGGATCCAATGTGCAGGTTTATTCACAGTCAGGCAAGCAGTGGTCAATACGGGAGCAAACAGGTATGTGAGGACAATCCAGAATCGTAGTCAGTTAACAAGCAAGAGGTCGAAAGGCAGGCGGCAGACAAGGAAAACTAAATAAACAAGTAGGTTCAAAACACAGAGAAACAAGACCAGGATAATGCGTTGTAATGTCACCTTACAGATAAACAAGACTCGGCAATGTGAATGAGTGTGTGTGCTGCTTAAATACTGTGTGTAATCAGTCTCTGAAAGTCCTCAGGTGTGAATGTAAATCAAGCTAAATGAGAAAGCAGGTGTGTGGGCGAAGAGCATGTATGAAGTTGTAGTCCAGGAAAAGTGTAGTTCTAAGTGTGTGTGTGTGTGTGTGTGTGTGTGTGTGTTTACCAGCGACATCTGGTGGTTGTTCGCTGGTAAACATGACAAGGACACAATGTATATATATATATATATTTTTTTACAGCATATAGAGTTAAAGTCTGAATTATTAGCCCCCCTTTTTATTTTTTCCCTGTTTTCTCCGTTTTACAGTCTATAGTTTTTACATTTCTAATCCGAATAGTTTTAATAACCTATCTCTAATAGCTGATTTATTTTATCTTTGCCACGATGACAGTAAATAATATTTTACTAAATATTTTTCAAGACACTTCTATACAGCTTAAAGTGACATTTAAAGGCTTAACTAGGTTAATTAGGTTAACAAGACAGGTTAGGGTAATTAGGCAAGTCATTGTATAACGATTGTTTGTTCTGTAGACTATCGGGGGAAAAAATGTCTAAAAGGACTAATAATTTTGCCCTTAAAATGGTGTTTAAAATAATTAAAAACTGCTTTTATTCTGCTTCATTGCAGGCCCCATTATTTGCCTGATTTATTTTGGAAATTGGATCACGAAAATGGGCCACACAGTGGCGCAGAAGGTATTGCTGATGACTCACAGCAAGAAGGTCGCTGGTTCGAGCCTCGACTATGTAAGTTGGCGTTTCTGTGTGGAATTTGCATTTTCTCCCTTCGGGTGCTTCGGTTTACCCCACAGTCCAAAGACATGTGGTACAGGTGAATTGGGTGGGCTAAATTGTCCATAATGAATGAATGTGAATGAGTGTGTATGGATGTTTCCCAGAGATGGGTTGCAGCTGGAAGGGCATATGCTGGATAAGTTGGCAGTTCATTCCGCTGTGGCCACCCCAGATTAATAAAGGGACTAAGCCGAAAAGAAAATGAATGAATGGACCGTGAAAATGAAATACAATAACGTTATTCTTCAGGCGTAGAAAAACTAAGAAGAAAAAGGAAAAAAGATAAACACAAAATCATTTTAGCATCGCTTTTAAGTGCTAATGATGATGGCAATCTAATAGCACAT